GCACGTATTTAATTCTTAATGTGTGGATATCATTAACCTGTAAGACTGATTACAGATTTGAAATACACGCGATATTAATTATTGTTTTGGTTGCTTTTAGCATCGAGGAATTTAACGTCGCCACACGATCTATATATATATATATATATATACATACTTATCTACATATAATCAACAAAAGGCGATGTAAATGTACAAATTACATAAAACTGTATGATATACAGGTATATTTGAATGAATTTCGACCATACAATAAAACTGATCTCTAGATTAGCCATTCGGACAGCACATGTATCAAATTACACTGATTATTTCAAAACTGTTTCATAAACGTGTTGCTATATTTCTTACCGCTCTGTCAAACTGGCAAAGCATTTCTGTCATATATGCATGTTCGTTAAACGAATTCAAGCAAAAGACAAAACGTCTTGGAAAATCGAGCATTGCCCGAAGTATATTAACCCTGTGAGTACAAGATTTTACAAACAAATCACGTAGACAAATAAACTAATTAATGGCTTGATGGAAAGTGGTTTCTCGTCTTACACAACATGGAAAGAGTGAAAAAGATAAGATTGTATAGCAAAGCTTAAACAGTTTTCCTATTTTTTTAGCAAAATTATCTCTAAACATTTCTGTATTACATACATGCACAAAGTTTGTGGAATTGTTTATAACGATAAATATCAAACTAGTATCAATCGGTGTCACTAAACAAGTTTTCAAAACTTGACCTATGTCAAAGCGTATTTTTTAGTCGTCATTACATACATGATGGAGCGAAAGCTGCTCTGTAAATTCACCCCGCGGTGGGTAAATGTCATATCTTTGTCGCTAGAGCGGCAAAGATTTAAAAAAAAAATAAGGTAACATTCAGATTCCTGCTAATCTGTGAAAACAATATTGATATATTTGTTAAAAATCAATAACGTACCTTTTGAAGTATTTACACACCACTATATCCACGTGAATTTGCTTTATAAATTTCCAAAATGTATGTTTTCCTTGTTTCTATAGTCCGTATACCAACAACACCTATTGGGGAACATTCTTTTTTTTTAAAGATATCATATTTATAACTTCTTTCTCAACTGAAGGGCATTTAGAGGACGAATTAGAAGAAGCGGTCACGGTGTATATTATCAACATTTTCTGTCGACAGGGATACACGGATAGCTATACTGATCTTACCCGCCTCGTCACACACTGGCGATCAATCTGAGGCGTAACTTGACCCCTCGTACGGTCGTTGTAACATTTTGTGTGAGGTGAACGGTCAACTGTACAATGTCGTAAAATAAGATATTTTACCTCATTATGAAAAGCCAGAATGTTTATCTTCTTTGGGCAGAGAATAAACTTGTATCACGTTTGTCCGATTTCGTCGTTTTAGGGTTGTATAAGATATTCGGGAATATTATACAGCTGCACAAATGATGATATGAAACGAGAGTATTTTATGTCGAAATAACAACAATAAAAATATATATATTTGTGTATCATAGTAAGGTAGCAACTGAATAGTATTTCACACATGCCTACATACTTAGGTTCCAGGTGTTGTAATAATTCACGCGGTAAAACGTTGAACAACTTGTACGTAACCTCAGGTGCTTGTGTGTATATACTTACCTGTGGATGATACGGGTGTGTGTGTATACTTACCTGTGGATGATAGAGTTGTGTGTATACTTACCTGTGGATGATAGAGTTGTGTGTGTATACTTACGTGTGGATGATAAAGTTGTGTGTGTATACTTACCTGTGGATGATAAAGTTGTGTGTGTATACTTACCTGTGGATGATAGATTTGTGTGTATACTTACCTGTGGATGATAGAGTTGTGTGTGTATACTTACCTGTGGATGATAAAGTTGTGTGTATACTTACCTGTGGATGATAGAGTTGTGTGTGTATACTTACCTGTGGATGATAGAGTTGTGTGTGTATACTTACCTGTGGATGACAGAGTTGTGTGTATACTTACCTGTGGATGATAGAGTTGTGTGTGTATACTTACCTGTGGATGATAGAGTTGTGTGTGTATACTTACCTGTGGATGATAGAGATGTGTGTGTATACTTACCTGTGGATGATAGAGTTGTGTGTATACTTACCTGTGGATGATAGAGATGTGTGTATACTTACCTGTGGATGATAGAGTTGTGTGTGTATACTTACCTGTGGATGATAAAGTTGTGTGTATACTTACCTGTGGATGATAGAGTTGTGTGTATACTTACCTGTGGATGATAGAGATGTGTGTATACTTACCTGTGGATGATAAAGTTGTGTGTATACTTACCTGTGGATGATAAAGTTGTGTGTGTATACTTACCTGTGGATGATAAAGTTGTGTGTATACTTACCTGTGGATGATAGAGATGTGTGTATACTTACCTGTGGATGATAAAGTTGTGTGTATACTTACCTGTGGATGATAAAGTTGTGTGTGTATACTTACCTGTGGATGATAGAGTTGTGTGTGTATACTTACCTGTGGATGATAGAGATGTGTGTGTATACTTACCTGTGGATGATAGAGATGTGTGTATACTTACCTGTGGATGATAGAGTTGTGTGTGTATACTTACCTGTGGATGATAAAGTTGTGTGTATACTTACCTGTGGATGATAAAGTTGTGTGTGTATACTTACCTGTGGATGATAGAGTTGTGTGTATACTTACCTGTGGATGATAGAGTTGTGTGTGTATACTTACCTGTGGATGATAGAGTTGTGTGTGTATACTTACCTGTGGATGATAGAGTTGTGTGTGTATACTTACCTGTGGATGACAGAGTTGTGTGTGTATACTTACCTGTGGATAATAAGTTATATTTTCTTACATGAAGTTTTGAAAACTGCCATTAAATAAATTAGAAAGCATCAATCTCTCATAGTACTAAGATCAAATTCTCTGTGAAAAATATGACTCAACAATACGTTAATATCCTGTCTTTCGTGAACCTGATATTTTTAATTATGTTCCATACTATGTTTTACATCACAAGTATCTAATGTTATGAACTATCCAATATCATTCATGAATATGTGAATTATAACTCCCCGCTCTGAAATACATGCCGCGCTTGCTTAGCGAGGCACACGTAAATATCTGGATATATCAATTTAATAAATGTGAAATTTCTAATGTTTATTTTCTTGTCAACAGGGACCTTGAAATTATATGATCATGTATTGTGTAATCATATGTCATATATCATATATATTTCCATCAACTTGCTTTATAAGAATACTGGTTTTTATCAGAATCTCACTGATCTGACCGGCGAAGACAGTAATATGGTCATGTGAATATTTTTTACGACTTTTCGTTTAGATGTCGCAAAGTTAGTTTATTTTCTTGTGCGTATTTCAAATATTCGGATTTCAAGAGAAATGTTTTCTAAAATCACGCTGAAGTATTCGATTCGTAATGTTGATCTCATTAGAAAATAGTTTTGTTCCTTTTGCGATGTATGAGGTTCAATAATAGTTATGATCAGTGCTCTTTACTATACTAGATGGGTTCGATATTACCTTGGTTCTTATTTCGAGAACATGTCATTACTAAGATTGATCTAGAATGAAATAGCGACCTTTGTCGATAAAACATAAGAAGGCTACGCTGAAAGCTGCCATGAGGTTGTAAATGTTCTTAATACCGATCTAAGCACGGGGTGCTGAACTGTTCCGTGTTTTATATCGGTGGAGATACTGGTTATTGACTCCAGCACACACTGCTATATATCCAGGAATGATAATTAGAACCTTTCTAATCGTATTTCCCTTTCCATTGTCTCATGATTGGCCTTTCTGTGCGGTGTAGGTACAGTACCCTCATTCAATATTAAGACGCTTAACCATCATGATGCACGTGTTTGGTAATACCCCAGGTGTGATCAACGTACATTCACATCATCTTGGTCGATAGATATCTCCCTAATTGACCACTAATTAAGTTTCTCCCGTACAAGGACTGGTTACACAATCATCTACAACTGGACGTGTATCATACACCAGGATAATACAATAATGTATATTGTTGATTGTTCCCGGAGTCTGGTCAAGCAATGACGCTCAGTGACTTGTTATATGCAATGTTTTATTGATTCTATCGTCAGATGTTATTGCCGTAATGAATATCATCATTGTTACTACTCTTTTACATGTACACATTGTATTTGTCATGGTAACCGTGTGTATTTACACCACGTAATTAGCCATGGCAACCCGTAAACTGATATTTTTGTACATATACCATGTATATATAAATATCTTCTGACTTTTATTCTGTTTTGCATAATTACAAGTAAGTACTTCATTTTATATGATATTCTAAAAACAATAACAATTTTGTGTGTGTATAATAACCATTGAGTTACATTTACAGTGATAATGAAATTCTTATTAAACAGATAGTGTTGAACTTAATTGTAATATATTTGATTAAACTAATAGTTTTTGAAGGTGGCTAATTTTCATTTTGTTTTTTCCGCCTTTGTTTTTGTTTTCGCTATTTTTTTTTTTTTTTTTTGGGGGGGGGGGGGGGGGGGGGGGGGGAGGGCGAGGGCCGGGGATTGTGCTATCTTGGACTTAAATTCGAAATAAGTTCGAGATGCTATATATTGTAATATTACAGACTAGACTAGTAAAGATGTATACATACCTAATAAGTCCGTATTAGCAGATAAAATCACTCATCCATGACTAGTCCCATTCTACTTGCTTACATCGCGATAAACGCTAAGGGGACGTAACCAATGGTATTACGTAGATAAACCTCTATATGTTGAATGATACTTGCTGTAACTAATCAAACTAGATATTTCTTCTAATTACTCACTGTGTAGTTTCCCTAAGGAAGGCATCCACTCATAAGCTGTTCATTTTTATTTTTTTAATTTTTCGTTTTTTTTTTTCTTATTTATTCATTTATTTTGACGGATGGGGTGCTTTTTTTAATCTATGCTTTCACTCTGCCATTTTTTGTCAACATGGCCATATTCAGACAGATCAGGCATGTTATCCGTTAAATCATACTTAGTACCATACAAATAATTAATAGTTATGTCGAAGGACTTGAACAAGGTTGTAGTGCTACAACTAAGGAGATAATCTCCTCGGTTTTCTCTTCAATGAAAATGTATTGTGTACCGAGAAAGTATGATGATGAATGGTAATGTAAATATTGTGTACCGAGGAAGTATGATGATGAATGGTAATGTAAATATTGTGTACCGAGGAAGTATGATGATGAATAGAATGTGATCATGAATATATTCAGCATCTTGAAAACTTTTTGGAGAGTACAACGCAATTTCATACATTTCTGTGTTGGAGATAAGAAAAATATGAAATATTGACTTTTAGAATTTCCGCTGTGAACTTTTATTATTGGAATTGTTCGTTTGTTTATTGATCAAAGTTTATCCGGGGCTATTCATTGGCATTTGGAACCGGTGTCATATCATATTTGTAACCCCATCATAAAAGTAGCCCCCGTCTTAACAACGTCCGAGTACTTTTATAATGAGGGGTACAAATATGATCTGACACCGGTTTCAGAAAAATCATTTAATGTTTGTATGCATCAGTTACCACGTGAGAAAAATGATAAAAATAACCATTTGCGAGTATATTGTCATCCACAGAGTTCTGATACTAGCTTGGAGCCACAGGGGCTTGACTAGAATGTTCAACTCACTGTCCATATAATAAATATATATGGTTTGCGAATTCATACCAAATCCCTATGCATCGACACTATATATATTACGGAAATATGAAAAGAACAATTTCGCCAGGAATTTGCTCCATTTACATTTTCATTTTACATTTTCAATTAACTATCCGTACAGTTGTAAAATAGCACATAAGTTAATCAAATTAATTTGTATAATATTTCCATTGCTGAGTGCATGTTGTCATGTTGCCTTGTGATTCAAGTAATTAAAAATCTAATATGGTTGTTCTGTTTGAGTTAAACTTACAAATACAATGTATCAACATGTCAAACATATCTCAGTCTTTCGGTATATGCTTTCTTTAGTTTGTATTAAATATTTATTATAGAGTAGAAGTTCCAGAAAATACAGATAAGTCGACAATAAGTCCATCACTTTACGATAAATACCTTTCACTACTTTTCATGTAGCCATGTAGCAGGCCATTCGGTTATAGCTGGTGCAGTGGTGGGCCATTCGGTTATAGCTGGTGCAGTGGTGGGACCGATTCGGTTATAGCTGGTGCAGTGGTGGGACCGATTCGGTTATAGCTGGTGCAGTGGTGGGCCACTCGGTTATAGCTGGTGCAGTGGTGGGCCATTCGGTTATAGCTGGTGCAGTGGTGGGCCACTCGGTTATAGCTGGTGCAGTGGTGGGCCACTCGGTTATAGCTGGTGCAGTGGTGGGCCACTCGGTTATAGCTGGTGCAGTGGTGGGCCACCCGGTTATAGCTGGTGCAGTGGTGGGCCACTCGGTTATAGCTGGTGCAGTGGTGGGCCATTCGGTTATAGCTGGGGCAGTGGTGGGCCACTCGGTTATAGCTGGTGCAGTGGTGGGCCACTCGGTATTAGCTGGTGCAGTGATGGGCCATTCGGTTATAGCTGGTGCAGTGATGGGCAATTCGGTTATAGCTGGTGCAGTGATTGGCCATTCGGTTATAGCTGGTGCAGTGGTGGGCCACTCGGTTATAGCTGGGGCAGTGGAAACGAATATTCAAGAAAGAGCGGAATGAACAGGAGGAAGTAAACCAGCAAGGGATGTGGTAGACATTTAAACAGCAGAGAGCAGTGAATGGTGTTAGGTCCTTACTGCTTCGGCTCTGTACTGGAGGGTACCATTTACATGACAATCATCTTATATATTCTTCAGAAATAATAATCATTGTGTTAATGTAAATATGTGTAATTGTGTTTAATGATACATAGAAGATGTATTTCGTATGAATGTATTTATTTAGCCATGAAATTCAAGTAAATCTCTCTCTCTCTTCTTAATTAAAAATGATATGTACATAATTATATTGAGCCATCACATAATGCATAAATGCAATTGGTTTTTTCTTCTAAAGGCAAGGGCGTTAACAATGTTGTTGTAACTTGTGCCTTTTGCTTGACGGCTATAAAATATTTTAAACTAATTAAATTTCATTTTTTTTGTCGCCGAGAAATAATTATACAGCAAATTATCGAAGGGGGATAACTCGCATACGTTTATCGTTTTGGAATGGCGGGAACAAGCATAAGCTTAGACAATTAAGGGTGATGTCGTAAATTTATATTTTTCTCTTCATTAGCGCTTGCGAGTTGAAATGAAATACTCTGTGATGTGGCATTCAGTATGTGTGAAGAAGGAGGAGAGTGAGAGTAGGTAATTACACATATGTATATATTTTTTCACTTATCATGTTTGATAAAATATAGCTCCATCATCGCGATAATTTCATTATGTAAAAAATGTAAAACTGCGAATTAAAATACACATGTTGCTGATCATTATTGATATAGGTTTTTTAATTGGTGTATTTCATACAAAAAATATCTTCATTTGTAACTAGAGGGATGGAGGGTGCACTTTCGTCAATTTGACTAAATTAATCAGCTGTTGGTATGTGAGATATAGATTAATGGTTCGTCAGTGACCAGTTAGATAATACAAAGTGTATACAATTTGCAGTCACTACATTTCATAAATATACAGGCTAAGTTAGATAGCATCCGCGGGTGTGTTCAGACACCATCTTACACTACATCGTTTGTCCACTCAAAACGAAATAATTTCATAATTGAAATTGTAAAAAAAAATATTTCTATATATATGTAGCATTTTTAATATAACCTATGTATGTAAGAATCAACGAAATATATTACATAAGTAGCTACAAAGCTCGCATATCGAACGCATGATGGAAGATTCCCTATATATATCGTTAGAGGTGTTTTGACAGCGTTGAGTGTAGACATCACAGGTGTGGGCTACCACATCTCTAGGTTACGACACAACTACGACGTTCGCACTTTTTTACTTTTTATTGTATAATATAAAGTATTCTATGGAAAAATAAAGCAAAAAATCCTAGATACACTTTGAATACAATTAATCTCTTTACATCAAGCATCTGAAGTTTTTTTCTTCTACTTTCAGTTGACATTTATGGTCATATGAATGCCAACATGATCAAGGCAAATTTACACTCTTTAAATTGAATTAGTTTTATCTCGTTAGCATTCACCGTGTCCAGACATATCCATTTAATGATTACGTTTATATTTTTTCAATTTACTCTTTTTTTTGGGAAGGAATTTACCTCACGTTGTTTAAATTTATGACAATTCGCTTTGAATATTCTTAAGTTGGTAATTTATAAGATTAGGTACCAGTCTCCAAATTTTGTAAAGAATTTACAGTCTTCTAAATTCTTCCATGGGCTTATCTCCTCCTAGTTTGAACCTTAGGATCAGATATATTTGAGAGACCAAAATTATAAAGCTCTATTTTATCAGGGACGTATAATATATATATATATATTTCTGTTGTAAATACGTGTAGTTTAAACCTACATTTTGTTTTCCAAATGTCAAAAGTTAACAGAAATAATTTTTCACCAAAGTTAGTACAATCGATTTGAAAATGATTAAGTTTTCTTTTATTGTTGATTTTCAAATGATAGCTGTGTATATAAAAACAGCAAGGCTTTTTAACTTGAATTTCTTCGGTACAGTGTTACATAGAGATATAGACAGATTCTTATCACTGTCGTGGTATTATTTTAATCTTTAAAAGTCAGGGGTCAGTCATGGGTAAAAGAAAATATAATTTACTGTATAGACTGTACTAAATAGTGGTGACGTAACCGGGAAAATATGGCTGATGTCATCAAACTTAACTTAAGGCGTTATGTCATAAATATGATCACATACAGGTATGGTATGGCGTATTAGAGCGGGAGCGCCATATCACAACTAGGTTCCACAGAAAACAGATTAGAGACGAGATATTGAGTGGGGAAGGGGAGCTTACAAAGACATCATTAGATGAGGCGGATTTCAATAAATTAGTCGTACTGTGTCCTAGGGTGTGGTGATAAGTACGGTCCTTCCAAGGCAATGGGTCAATTATATCAAAATACATCACAGTGAGACCAAGGCACCTGTTACACACTCCCACACAGTGGGACTGAGGCAACAACGAGGAGAGTTAAATATAGCTACAGTATACATATAGGTGTTGTGCGCGAACTAGAATGCCAACTAAAGCCTGACGCTCGACGGTCGAGAAAAATCTTTGATGTGATTTTTACGGAGTAGCAGTGCCGTTCTCAACAAGGTATGCATTGAAGTATACGTGTGTATTTTTCTTCATTTTGTGTGTGCCGGACCGGAGTATGTATACGTGCGACACTTATGTATATGTGCGATGTTTTGAGTAAGTAAAATTTCTTCATAAACCACATTGACGTAAACATGTTCACTTCCTGTGAAGGGCTTTACTATTTCTAATTATCGTTCTTGTGTGGACTGTACAAGTCGATTGATTTCTGTTTCCTGGATGAACAGGACTGCTCACTGTGAAATATACCAAGTAAGTAGGTTGCACGTGCACATGATTGATAGATATAAATTCAATACATAATATATACGTATGTTTGAAGCATCGGATTGCCGAACCAGTGGTAACGTTGTTAAGGCAGGTTTGTATTGTGAGTGCAATTGTTTATTATCAGTGAAACTGTATACATATCGTGGTTTCCTACCAATGTACCACGTGTTACATATGATTTTGGTACAGGGAAAGGAGGAGGAAGGGGGGGGGGGCGTCATTCGCTAACAAACAACAGATTGTACAGTAGAAAAGATATCTTTGGACACCGGAACCTGATATATTAATGTATATACCAATACTAGTTTGTGTATATCAGGGGTCAAACAGAGATGATGATAGATTTGAGATACTGATAAATTTAACCAGGACCCCTCCCCCCCCCCCAAAAAAAAAAAAAAATGATGAAATAGGCGATTCTGGTCAGTTTTATTAGCCTAGCAGATATGTAGCAATGGTTGCAGATGAATTTCATTTCAACATCTTTATTGTTAATCTGTTTTGTCATAACTGATGGCTATGGAAAAGGGTTGGGAACAGGACAGCACTGCATACTTGTGCAGAAGATGGTATGTTTTACAGAGTTCTATAAAGTTTGCTAGTTGTGTAAGGGTACAAGACCAGACATAACAAATGAAAATAAAAACAGGTGTGTTCTGCTAGTGATTAAACAGGATACTTTGTTATACTCAGTTTTACAAATAACCTTGTAACTAGGTATATGTAACACTGCTGTACATTTATCAAGAATGTAGAAGTTGGTAGTTGGGTGGCGCAGTGGTAACACACTCGCCTTTCAGTTAGCCATCAGGGTTCGATTACCAGAATGGACGTGAAAAAGGAAAAGATAGCGGCTAACCAGCCTGACCATGTGGGTTTTGGCGGGGTACTCTGGTTTCCTCCAACACTAAGACCTCTCACACACTTACAAACAAAAGTGGTTAAGTATAAGTTGCTCAAACTCGTTTCAGAATTGTTGTAAAATAGATAAAGTTTATAATATTGTTTACTAATGTGAAATTAGGGTTCTTTTTGAATAACGACGTCTGGTTCAATGGTATTGGGATCAAATGTATTGTCCGCACAAAGAAATCCCTAAAAAGACAGAAACATGGGTATACAATACGAGCACATAAAACTACTTTTACAAAACGTTATTGAACGCACTACACAATTACTTTACAATACATAATGCGAACCACTGGACATCTGAAGTAAGAGTTAATATATAAAAGACTGAACTTGTAAGCAATCATAATTACTAATGAGTAATAATCATTTGAAAATAGTTCACAGCAACTTACCCTGCATGTGGTGCTGGCGATGTATACTTAGATTTTGAATAACGTCTAACCCCTTTGAAATCTGCTGCCCAAGTGACATGAAAGACAGAAAAGCAGGAAAGAACAGGAAGATAGACAGCGCGCATGTGTCCGGAGTGGTCAGTCCGGTCAACAAAAGAATACAACACATCACACTAAGACCAGAGACGTATATATCACGTCTCTGCTAAGACATTGTAACACAATTAGTGAAGGAAGACAATTTTTGACTCGTGCCCTGTGCGGACATCAAACTCATGATCTACGACACTAAATCGTCATATGTTAGGTTCATATTTCATGATTTTGTCCAAAATGTGAATTTTCGTTGGCACTAGATTTGGAAGATAAATCTCGTTATCAGATTGTCTTGTTGGGGATATATAAATTCGAGGATTATTTTTAATGTGACTTCAAGGAAAATTAAACATGTACGAAAAAACAAACAATCTTGTATACAGGTAAGTCCTGTTGATATTTGATTCGTTCAGTCACTGCTATCTGCTACCTGTAGATAATTTTCTACTCCACTTTCCATCTCTGTAATCGCATTTTATTTTCACAGCAACGACTGGATTTTATTTAATTTCTCTACAGACATATATACATGTATATGGTCTACAGCATTGTAGATCGCACATATCTGTCAAGACTTGAAGAATTAATTCCCAAATTCTGTTAGAATCAGACAGTTACATGCTCACTCTTTTTGTCATAAGACCAAGATATAGATGTTAGAAATTGTGTTATATCGCATTTGGAAATTGGAAGTCACATCTTAAAGTGCAATCTATATGATGCGACTCAGCTAAGT